ATAGAATTGAACACATTTCTCAATTTCCTGAAATCACAGACATTGTTAAGATATCCTTGTTTCTTCCTTGGCTAAATGTTTCTTTGTGGCATTTGTGTATCAATAGTAGACCAATGTGCATAATCTGATTGATGAGTTGGAAGATGGTATGCAATGTTGCCTTTTGGCATTGGGCAAGGGAGCTGGTTTGGGAAGCTCTTCCTCTTGCTCATTCTCTTTCACTCTCTCTCTCAGCAAAATTAAACAGCATTGTATTTCTATATCTGTTTGCATATCAGTATAAACATACCAATGGAATCCATGCCAATATTCTGCATCTTTTAGCATGTACTGGCTGACGTTCATATATTTTGTTCATCAGCTTGTTAACTTTAGTTTTGTTCCTCAGTTCTGACACTAACCTTCTTACTACTCCCTGATTGACCTCCTCTTACTAGAAAAGTGTGATGAATTTACAGGCTGTGACAAGTCTATGCTGGCAAAGAGCAAAACCTGTAATAGTCAATGAAAACAATTGCGCAACAGAAATGGCTCTCCTGGGCAGTGCTTTGGAGGATTCAATTTTAATGCCTGACCCACTTCCTGCTATGATATCATCAAGCCTAGCAACTTCTATGACAACATCAGGTTCGAGAACCACTGTTCGTTCAGGTTCTGTGGACTCGTTTTCTTTTCCAGCAGGCATTACAGGATCTACATCTGGGACAACAGGTTTATCTCCATCCGAGGAAACACCCATACGAAGTAGTTTATGGAAAGGTGGATCTTTGGCAAGATTACATGCTCCTCGTAACTTCAAGGATGATATGGAAGTTTTTTCTCCTCTTGTTGAAGTTCAGCCAATTACACCTTCACTTGATAAGCTGTGGGATGATCAGGAAGGTTTTAAAAAGGATTTTGATAAGAAGTCATCTTTGCTATTTCCTTCTTCTCTAAGGTTTCCCCTTCCAGTTGAGGGTGGCAATGAGAACCGCCCCATATTTGATTGGAAATCAAGTTCCTTGCCCAAACAGGTTTGGATCTTGTCTGGTTCATGTGCCTAGATTTATATTCTTTTGGACAACAAATTATTTCCTTGTTGCAGGACATTTGGTGAAATTGTGAGTTGCTCTTCTATATACAAAAATGATTGACTTGTTTGTCGAAATTTCTTATGTTGTTGGATGCAAAATGGTGCTTTTGATATCTAGTTGAAGTAACTAATTTCTTAACTCCTTCATTCTTGGGTGCTAAATAATTTGTGAAGTCAGTTCAAAAAGTGGTGTCAGTATTCTGAAGCTGAAATCAATGACTGGGTTTAACATTAAAATGCATGAGTTGTTATCTTTCCTTGACAAGTATTTCATATCTTTGACATTCCTGCAGGAGGACGCTTCTTTTGCACAGTTGTCTTCTACTCCTACATCTTCCCGTGGTGATGATTCTTCCTCCATAACTCCTCCTGAAGCTTGGGGTGGTGAGAGATTATCGGATAGATTATCTCACCTTCGGCAGTCAGGAAACATGCCTTCCCGTTTTGCTATCTCAACATCTGGTCCTCTTGCACCAGGAACTATGTTATCTGGATTACAGGATAATTTTCCTGCAACTCAGAGTATCAGCTCTTTGACTAGTTCTAGTCTAAGTTTGGCTAATTTGCGCATAAAAGAAAATTCAAATGAAGAAACTATTCTAGGATCTTCAGAACACGTGAGTTCCACATCCTTTTCAGTTGGAACAAAAGGCATTACGGGGCAGGGTACTCTTGATTCTCTTGGTTCAACTATGTCCCTCCCACGAAGATTTTCTAGTTATGCTGAGAGAATAAGCACCACGCCATCCTTTAGTGATGGAACCCTTTCTGTTGGTTCTCCAAAAACTAAGAAAACTGGAGCTGAAACAAGGGAGGAGCTTCTGAATAGCTTGTTATCTAGGTCGGACACGTCGTCTGCTACAGCAGCTGGTGCTTTCCAAGCAATGAATGTATGAATCAGGAAAACTTGGTTGTTCCTATCTTTGGCATCATTTGTTATGCATCATCATCATGGATGTTTTCACCTTTTGTGTTTTTCGAAGAGAATCTCAGAAGCATGAGCTGGTGGAAAGATCCTTAATGATGAATCATTCCAAATGACATAATTATCTTTTTAATAGAAAGTTTTCATTTGACCTAGTGAATTTTTTCAGGGTGAGATTAAGCAATCACAAAAGTCCACACTGCCCGAATTGCAGCAGGGAAGTTCCTTTACACTCCAGCTGTTTCAACGTACACAAGAAGAGACTCTTTCTTCCCTTCAAAAATCCATTCATGAGGATATGAGGAATCTTCATTTAGATATTTTAAGACAATTTCATATGCAAGAGGTACATTTGTTAACTTTGCACTTTCCTAGTTCTTCAGTTGAACAGTATCTCTTAGATTTTTGCAAACATTGCGCAGATGGAAACTTCTAGTGCTATGAAATTGATACTGGAAAATCAAGCAGAGCTGATGAAAGAGGTTCAATTACTTCGAAGGGAAACACAGCAGCTTCGACAGTTATTATGACCAGAGTAGCTAGAGATATTGTCATTACGTATTCCTTTAGTTTTAGCCATGTACCCAATGCTGTTTTAGGAGATTTGTACTGACAGTTGTGTAGTGACTAGCGAGTGCGGAAGTGTTATTGTGTGCTTATCTAAATGTGGGCGAATTTGGGGGTTTATTTTATTTTACCCTAATATAGTAAATGAGTGTGTGATGGCTGATCAATACTTGACAGTTAAGAGTGCTGTTATGGTTGTGTACAGAAAGTTGGCTAGGCCAATTTCAGAAATTTAATGTACAGAACTACAGATCATCTGATTCAAAAAAATATCCTTCCAAGTCGGAGCAGGTCTCATCTTTGTTTATTCATATTTTGTGATGTTCATGGGCTACTTCTCAATATTAGATATTCCAACTGTCAATTTTCAAAAATAATAGTACATTATAGTGTGCTAAGTACTACTTGGTTTGAGAAAATATTCGATTGATTTTGATAAAAATGAGCAGCTAAGGGAGTCCTATCAACTTGTTCTGATCTAGGATCATAAACTCATGAGTTTGATCTTACTTCATTGTCAAGAAATGATATTAGAACATAGCACAATTTATCTTGTTCATCTACTTTATCTCTTTAGATGATACCATAGTTTTTACGATTATTCGTTTATTAGGTGGAACCTGGAGGGTACCAGTGAAGTAGCAGCCATGGTGCTTAAAACTAGACTCTCCTTCCTTTTTATTACTTCATTGTACAACTTAGCAAAATGATCTGGTCGATTCTTGTACTTGTATGAGTTTGTATTGTGAATCCTTTTACTTATCCCTTTGTCATTTGGACCCCTGAACTCATCTAAACTCGATATTTTAAACACCTTTTTTATCCTTTAATTGTGCGTGTACCACAAATGCTTGACACATAATTTTAAAAATAATTATAAAATGACACGTGTATATATATATCACTTCATGTCATCTTGACATTTTTATTATATTTAATTAATATATTTCTGATTTTTGTTTGCCTTTTGCCACCAAACCCACCACCCACCACTTTCCCCACAATCTCATTTCATTTCTCTTTCTTCTTCCTTGCACTTTTTTTTTGAACTTCTTCTACTCTTTTCATTGAAGAAAAAACACCAGCAACAATCAAGGCAATCCGTCTTTGTTTTCATCCAAATCGAAGAAGAGAGGTTCACCGCTTGAGTGTACAGTGTGTCAACGTCGTTCTAGACCAGTATCTGTGTGTGGTATATATATACCCACATTTTTTCTTTCTCATTTTTTTCTTCATTCCCACAAAATTGTTTGAGTATTTTTGTTGATTTTGTTCGATTTTTAATTTATCTATGTAAATTTTGTAACTTATTTTCGTATTTGTATGTTGTTTAGTCTAGATTTCACCTTCTATTTATGTCTTTGTTTAATTTTTAGGTTTTTAGTCGATTATACTAATTTTTTTGAAATTTTTTTGGGATTCAATTTGTTATGCTTTCAATTACATGTTTCATGATTTCTATTAGATTATAGGATCCTAACAAAAGCAACTTTCATGATGATGTAGAAAACTACAATATGATCAACCACAAAATGAAGCAAACAATTAACTGGAAATGCATAGAAATAAAAGAGGAGTATAACGATGAAAAAAAATGGAGAAGAAATTTAGAAAAAGAAGATAAAAAAAGAGGCAAGAAAAAGCTCAAATTTGTCTAATAATGGTGTTAAATGCAAATGGGGAAGAAGATGGCTTTATAAAACTCTAATGTGGCTATTAGACCTTTTTAACGAGATTTCATGCTCCTCAGGTGTGTGTATCACACGCCTCGTTGTGTCTGCCACATAGGATGCCAAGTCAGAAAACGTGTTTAAAATGTAGTGTTTCGAGGAGTTCAAGGGTTCAATTGACAAGTGATTAAGTAAAAGGTTTAGAATACAAACTCATACAAGTACAAGGATCCACCAGATCCTTTTGCCTAACTTAAATTTGATATATTTTTCTTCATTCTTGTGGTAAATCATGCTGAAAAACATGGGAAACAAGGTTTGCTAAATGTTCCAGGGTGCTCGTAGAAAATGAATTAAGAAGTGGGAGCAAATAAACTTGAAATATGTAAGAGCTTTGGAATCCATAAAACTCTTCAACAAAAGCGTGAAGCATCATCATCATCACAACACACGAAGAGCAATACACCACAATTGAGGATTCACTTAGACGAATGAAAATGCAAGCCAGTACATGTTCGAGAAATCCTTGTTAAGTGATTTGACTTGATAATTACTAACAAACATGAAAATTGGAAATGCAATCTCATCAACAAGCAACAACCTGCTGCAAGAGCAACCAGAACTAGCTGATAAAAGCATATTGAATAGCGCGCTGGCTAACTCTGTATAAAATTCACCAACATTTCTAAAGACTAGGATCTCATAGTACATTAACTTTATCAATGATAGACAGACATTACGATGTAGCCAAATTAAATTACCCCTACTAAAACATAAACATCAATAAAAACTTATGCGAACCTACGCCTCAATGAATTTCTTCAGATTCTTAAGCCACATCTTGTATTCTCTGCCATCCTTGTTGATCATGTACTCATGCAAGAAGTTGGTTGTGCTGGGCTTGATACCCCTAATCTCCAGATACTTGTGGAAAGCCTTTTGGAGGTTCTCATCCAAATCCCTGATGATGATTGAGAAGCAGATATATTCTATTAGTATAATGAAAACAGATAAGAAATTCGTTAAATTAAATTTTGAAGACTCACGTGAAATCAGGTCCTTCATAAGCAATCTGATCCTCAGCAACATTAGGATCTTTGATTGACAAAGTGTCAATAGCAATCTCATCAGCAAAAGATGTGATACCAAACTCCAAAGATGGCCCATTCTTCTTAGACACCCTAACAACTAGAGGAATTTGGGACTGATTGGCCCCTTCGTTATCAGGGTGGTCACGATCGTTGTCATTCTCATCTTCATCACCAGTAACAAGGTCGGGCATGTGAACTTCGACATTAATAGATTCACCTTGATACTCTCTTGTCAATGTTATAGTTTGTTGTCCAGGATGATCTTCAATCTCGAAGGGGAAACCCTCAGGAGCCTCGTCAACCTGTAATCACAATGAAAAAAACAATGATAACAGTACTAAATCTGCTAATCCAGTAACATTTTTTGGGTAAAACTGAATTTTGTCCATAAGATCCACTAAAAACAGAAACAAATCAGCAGCACAATCCAAAAATTACACGATTTTAACTAAAATTAAAATTCATTTGCCACACATATATAGGAAAAAGGAGAATTGGGGAAAATCAAACCTCGTCTTGTACGTCGGATTCCTCAACACATTGGATTTCGGACTGAAGGACTTTGAGGAGTGATTCATCAGAACTGGGCCTCTTGGTAGAATAGAAATGAAGGGTGGACGGTGCTGAGCTCCGAAAGAAGTTTCTAGAAGCAGCACTACGGTTAACTACGGTGGATAAGAGAGCAGAGGATAGATTATGGTAACTCTGTGTTCTACAGATCATCCGAGCAGCCAAGGGTACAACTTGAGAAGCAGTCCTTCTGATGATGTTAGTGACAGCCATTTTCGCAGAGGTAGATAATTTAGGGTTTAAGGAGAAGAGGAGGCTTGGGTTTAGGGTTTACGCTACAGGTTATATTAATAGGAGAGTTCTCCACTTTTTTTCGGAAATTTACAACTTCAACTTGGGGTAGAATGGGAAGTGCAATAGCAAATATAACACATTTTCTCTTTTCAGTTATTATGTTGATCAAATATAACTATCATTTCATATTAGAATTTAATAAAATAATTGTTAAATAGGAAGTCCACACTTTTATATTAGTTGTCACGACCCGAGAGTACCCCCTAGTCGTAACATGGCGTATTCGACCCCGAAGGGGCCTTATACGAGCCACATAGTCATTCATTGCATTCAATAATGAAAATAGTGCGGAAATAAAAAAAAACTTATTTACATCCACACATTTAAACTTCTTAAAACAACTTTAAAAACACACAGCGGAAGTCTAAGTCTCACATGGCCATCTTAGACACAGTCGCAAAACATAAGTAGGGACACGACCCTTTACAATCAAAAGAAGTCTATTAAGTCTATTACATGAACAGAAGGACTTAAAAGTCTTATCCTCGAATCCATGAGGACATACCAAGTCTTGGAGGAAAGCAATCCAACACTTCAAACTAGCTAGGAGTGATCACTTGCCGGAACCTACACTTATAGAAAATAGAGAAATATGGAATTAGCACAATTAAGTACTAAGTATGATGACCATGCAAAACATGCTTTAAAAAGGGACATTTTAGTTAGAAACCATGCATTATGCCACCTTTTTGAAATATCATGAACAATAGTATAAAAGACATACAAGACAAGCATAACATCAAGTAAGTCATAATATCACCTTTAAACAATATCAACATGAAAACCTTTACCTTGGACCTTCACCTCAAGAAACCCTTATGCTATACCTCGTGCAATGTATGGATGACGTCCCATACCACCATCCATACTAAGGCACCACATTTAGATCACTTAAAGTAACTTATCATTCCTTCTTTCACCTTTGCACAATATTCATACATAAGAGGTATATCATTAATTAAGACATGACAAGGGAAAATAACTCATAATATAACCCAAGTATAGCATGCATCTCATATTAAACATTCGAGAGCCAACATTCTTTAATAACCTCATTTAGGGCACATTTGTGTCACATACATTAGGATTTAGAGAAACTCACTATGACCCTCTCCAAGCCTACTCGTGCAATGTATAGGTAGCATCCCATACTACTACCTACACTTTGTAGAGCTTATCAAGAAACCATAATAAAATCTCACATGATGGGAAGTAAGCGTTTAACCGACATAGACCATGAGAGCTTGTCATGGAATCCGGTGTCATAAGTCCCCACACCGTAAAGAGGTGGTCTACTTGCCTAAGGAAGACCGGTATATAGCTTAATGGATCCACTAGCTTCCTATGCGGGCACATAGTTTATGGGATAAGGTAGACGATCATTGAAACTCATGCCTAACTGTCGGGGGAGTTTCCATCTAACCAAATCCGCTCGGTGCTTAGCCTACATTCCCATAGAATAGTTCATTACTTTGACATCATCACACATGAAAGGGTGCCATAAGCCTACCGATTCAAGGTACATTATTTAACACATGAAAGGGTGCCATAAGCCTACCGATTCAAGGTACATTTAGGAAAGCTCATTAACTCCTCTTGAAAGGGTGCCATGGGCCTACCGATTCAAGTCTCATCATTAACCTTTATGGAAAGGTGCCATAGGCCTACCGAATCCAAGGTTCATTACTTATCATTAATGGAAGGGTGCCATTAGCCTACCGATCCAAGGTTCATTATAAGCGTGTGTGGAAGGGTGCCATTAGCCTACCGATCCAAGGATTCAACAATAAACAATATAATCATTTATACAAGAAAAGGATGCATAAGCCCTACCAATTGAAGGTATACTTTACATTGAAGAATCCTTCATATTCTATCATCAACATTCATGAGTGTCAAATTGAGAAATAATCTTTCAATAGTAACACATTTACATTCATAACATGATCACATTATCTTCATTGAACTCTCATTCATACAATGTCATGATAACACTTCAATTTCTTATACTATGCCTTCAAGGCCATGGTCACAATGTAACAAACAAGTAAACAATTCTAAGTCAACATTAGCTCCTCATGTCTTGCCTTTAAGGCCATGGTCACAATACATCCCATAATTAAACACCTCCACCATAAGTGGATCAAACCAAGCAAGAACAATTTTATCCCTAATATGAGATTAAGTCAACTTACCATCCTCCAAAGCCATAATAACCATTACTCAATTCCCAACAATTCTATCACCACAAGGTGATTCACCCATAATTTGCCCATAAGGCCACAATCCTCAATTCATCCATATACCAACAATTCATCAACATTAAATCATAGGCATTGAACCCACTTCATAAACAAATTCAAGTATTTTAATGAAAACATGGGTTCTTGAAGAAGTTTCATATAAAATCATCTTAAAATCATAAATACAACTTCAATTCACCAATATAATGACTTTGAAAACATTTTACCCATGAACCCATACCTAGAATAGAAAATAGAAATTTTGTTTTTTGAAGACTTTTGAAACCCTTTTTAATGGACTCCTTGAAGGAAAGATAATCAAGGATCAAGGGTCACCATACCTTTGCTATGATTCCCCAAGAAAATTGATGAAGAAAGCCTTGAATCCAAGCCCTAGCTCCAAGTTCTTCTTCTTCTTAATGGAGGATTGTAGAGAGGGAAATGTTTTAGGGATTGGAATTGAATTAATGGTATCTAGGAAATAATATATACCCTTTGGAAAAAATTCGTCCAACACTTAGAAAAAAAAAAGGGGCGGGTGAACAGTAATGAACAGTAAAATTGGCTACTGGAATTTGCATTTTCTGCCGGACAGACTTTACGAAAATGGGCATAACTTCTTCGTCCGAACTCCGAATGAGGTGAAACGAAGTGAGTTAGGTAGCTAACTCAAAGGGTTTTCCATGGATATATTATTGGCCACCCAAATAATTTGTGTGCTAGGAGATATGACCCTCCAAAGTAGACCCTCGAAAAAGGCTTCACTTGGAAATTTCGGATTTTGATACGGTTGCTCTAAAATTTGGGTTAGACCCATTTCCCACTCAATTTGACCCCCTAAACAAGAATATGAAGTCGGATTTTCGAAAAACGAAACGGATCTTTTAGTATACCGCTAAACAAGTTTCCGGTAACTTCCGAAGCACATTTTTAAGAACTTTTGGGTCAAATTCAAATATAATCATTTCATTAAGTTCTCGACTCCAAATTCACATGTGAGGCTCTAGTTTCACTCTATCATTTTCCGAGTCGTTACATTAGTAATGGATACTAATTGCGAAAAAGACATGTTGTGCATGGGTAGAGGCCAATCCACGTGCTTACAAGGTCCACGTGTAGCCGTTAACTTCGAAAAATATTATGTATATATGTGTATATAATTTGAATGTGAGATATATTTTAGGCTTAAGTCATCGATCGCCCCTTAAAGTTGTTCGCATAATTCACTTAGACACCTCAACTAAGACTTGTACCTATTGAACACCTAAATTGTTCAAAACATGTACATATTAAACACAAAACGTTGATATGACAAAAAATGTGTTTTGCACTTCCCTGAAGCGCGTGAAAAGATTCAAAATAGTGCTTTTTTGAATTTTTTTTACATTTTTTCTTCTTTTATTGACACTTGGCATTATAATTAACTTTAAAAACATTTTTCTTCTTTCATTTACACTTTTTTCAAAAAAAAAAAGGATCCCACTCCCTACCTATCATCTTCTTCATACTTTAGTTTGCAAAACATTCTTCATTTTAGCTCCAACATTGTTTTTCTTTCTTTAATATAAAAAAAAGAATATTATTTCTTTCAAATATGAAGATAAATGAAAATCAACTATGAAGATTCAGATTTGAAAGAAAGTAAGACTTTCTTTCGTATGATTTATTTCAAATCTCATAAAAATAAGGAACAAATATGAAGAAGAAGAAAGATGATAAATGATTTTACATATAAAAAAAGTTAGCTGATATTTGTTTATCAAAATTTTTGAACAAAGAGTTTTACTCAAATTCATATATAAACCCATTAAATTTATCAAAAATGATATTCAAAAAATTGAAAGAATTAATTTTTGAGCTATCAATTTCATTTTGTCATCAATGTAGAAATGAATAACCACCGGTAAAATTTTCTTTCTTCTTCACTCTTAGTATGAAAATGTATATATATATATATATATATTTCAAAAGTTAATCTTCAAGTTATTTGAAAAGAATTAGATTTTGTGATTTGAGAAAGAATGTGTTTTCGGAAGAAGATGAAGATGAAAGGGGGTTGGGTAGGGGTGGGGTTGGGTTGGGTAGAATAGGTTGACATTTTCATTTTTTTCTTTTTCTTTTTAAAAAAATTAGATATAAAAAGTGTTTGAAATAATTTTAAACAAAGTTATTTTTTTTATAATTTTCGGGGCCCAGTGACACATGTTATTTTTTAGTTTGCCGTTTTGCCACGTCACCGCAAGTGTATCACATACTCTTCATATATTTTGCTGATTATCAAAAAATGCCTAATAGGAACAATTTTTGAATTGGTAAAAGTGTTTAATAGGTACTAGTCTTAGTTGAGGTGTCTAAGTAAATTATGCGGACAACTTTAAGGGGCCGCTGATGACTTAAGCCTATATTTTATTAGTCTTTATATGATGCTAAAGTTAATTGGGTCTATTGGTTTCAACCTCGTGAATCTCTTCATTTAGAGTTGATCGAACTGGGTTCAAATCCCACTTACTGTAGTTATTTAATTCAAATTTATATGTTATTACATTACTTTTATATTTCTATATTTAATAAAAATAACACATGAATCGATATTGGGTGACATGTTTTAACTAACATATATTAATTATTGATAGTGCATCAATCATCTTCAAATTCTGAGTTTGTCTATGTGCATGGGCCTAATATTTATTTTTTAAAGTGGTGTTACCATTTAAGTGAGTGTTATATGATACTCCCTCTGTCCACAATTGTTTGGCAGGT